AAATATCCCTTTCATCAAGATCCTCTTCTTCATATTGGTCATATATTAAATCTTCAATCGCATCAATTAATTCATCCATAGAGGTATCAGATTCTTCATCTAATTCAACAAAAGAACTATCATAAAAAGTAATTGGAACTGAAGCAAATTTTGTAAGATATCTGAACTTCACTTTTCTTTCGTCAAAATTAAGAATGACTTTAGTCCTCTTAAACCAATCTGTTTCTAATAATAAATTTTCATCAGATGATTCAATAACTTGTAAAGTTATTGGTATTCGAATAGATCCAATTATCATTTTAACAGTATTAATCTTTTCTAGAGCTCTTGCTCTTTTTCCATTTGCTACGTTGATAATAATCTTAGAAGGTTCATCAATTTTTTAAATAAACTCGCTTAACTAAACTACTCGTAATAATACTAATAGCTACACTTAAGTCAAGAATAGCTTGTACATTACTATGATTAATTTGAATAGTACATCTAACAGTGGTTGTAAGCATATCTTCATTGTCACTCACGTACTCATCATCAAGGTCAACATTATTAATTTCTTTAATAATGGCTCGTTTTAACGCATTAGCTAAATTTCTCTTTTGATCTGGATATTTTAACCATTGTCCAAATTTCGCAAACAAAGGTAAGTTGAGAATATCCTTAGCGACATTATAAAAGCTAATTGGTTAACAGCAGAAGGAATGCATGATATTTTTCTTTGAGGTTTCTTAACCTTTGGAGTTGAAATCCCTTCTTCAATATCTATTGAAATAGTGAGAGGGATTGGTTTACTTATATTCTTATTTCTTAATCTCATTTCTTGTTGAGATTCAGAAGCCTTTTTACTTCTTTCTTTTGCTTCTCTCCTATTAGTAGTATATGAAGTGACCCTTATTTTTGGAGTAGTATAAACCTCTTCATAATCTTCCTCATTTTCTAAATCAAGATCAAAATAAACTTCGATTATATTTGCATCCTTTCTCTTTTTAGAAAGTAAATCACATTCTCTAGAGTAGTGACCTTTCTTTTGACAATTAAAACAAGTAATTTGGGATTTATCTGATTTCTGACCTGTGGTTTTAGGTCTTGTTTGGGTTTGAACATTCAAGGCTAAAATAATATTAGCATAATTAAGAATTAACTTTTCTATTTGTTTCGTTAAGGCTTCAAGAATGTCATCAGTGAGAGCTCTAGCTTTTCGATCTACTTGACATTCCTATCTTTCAGCTTGTTTTTCAAAATAAACTCCAGCTTCATAGTCGATAGCCTCTTGAATTGCTTCATTAATATTCGCAGATTTATTAGTAGCAACATATCATACTAAATCCTTTTTTAATCCCTTTAAGAATAACTTGATAATATAAGGTTCTAGTAGATTACTATCAGGATCTACCTTTTTCCTTAATCTCTTAAATCTATTAAAATACAATTCTACTTTTTCATCCCTTCCTTAAAGAATATCATTAAGTTTATAATGCCATTTGTTTTGTTGCTCAATCGTAGAAAAATGGTTTACGAATTTAAGTATAAAGGTCTCAATGTCATCTTCATTCTCTGCAATTCTCTAACTTTAAGCAAATGTAGTATTCTCGTACTAATCAGCAGTTACATGATCAAGGAATCCTCTAGCAATTTCAACTATTCTTTCATTAATCCAGTTGTTAGCCTTCGCGGCTTTCTCAAAATGGGTAATCCAATTTGATGGATTCTCTTCACTTTTTCCTGAGAAGCGTTTTACTAGGATTAAATTAGTTTCTCTTTTTAGTGATTGCTGTGAAGGTCTGTTTTGGACTTCCTGAATGAGTTGATCGATAGAATTTGTGAGTGTAGTAATGAAGGCATTAAATTGATCTGCATCCATTATGTTTCTTCTTGAAGGTTCTAATGAAAAAGGTACTAAAGGTTGTAATTCTGTTGCTATAGAGCGTTCAAAGTTGATTAAATGATAAGATTCATCTAATATATGAATAGTAATGAAGTTAAAATTGAATCCAAAATTAAAAGGGTTAACAAAGGTTAAATTATATAACAATAATTTGGCTTCTCTTTTAAGAGTTTTAATGAGCTGTAATTTACTAAAATGTTGTCGATATTGATCAAACAAAGTTACTGTTTTTTCAGTATATACAAGAGCACCAAATTCAGCATTAATCCAATTCCAAAAATGTTTGAATGGTAAAGATACTTCTTCTAAAGGTGGATAACAAATTATACAAGTGTAGTCAGTTGATAGGTAACTTCTATTTTTAGAGTGTTGTTGAATATGATTTCATTGTAATGTAAGATAGAGATTAAAATTCATCCACTAAAAGCTAGAATATATATAATAAATAAGATATAATTAATACAGATAATAACTATAATTCATTTATCTAATTTGTCCACTTGATCAACGTTGACAACTTTAGCAACTTTGTCAACTTCGTCAACTATGTCGATCATTTAGATCACATGACTTATTTTTAGCGCAGTCACGGATCACGGCTTCAACATGATAATGATCAAGAACGTTTTCTTTCTCGTACGACCGATCCATAACAAATATAGAAAAGGAAAATCTCAGCGATCTTTCAATCATTTTTCAGATAGTTCAGATAGAAAATAAGTATTTTTAAATTTTAATCAATTTTTAAAAATTTATTTTCTATCAAATACAGTAATTTTAGTTGTATTTTTTATATTTTAGCATATTAAGTTTATTATTTATTATTATCATTAATGCCACAGATAAACAATCAACGTCCATCGAAATTTAATTTGTAAAAATTTATTAAAAATTTAATGTCTCGTAAAATATAATTACGAAAGTCTGTCCTAATTAATAAATTTTACGTAATTCATTGTAAAATTAACTTTAGATTAATTTTTTTGGATGAGAAAGCATCATCCAAAAAAAGAAAAACATCCCTTAACATATTTTGCGATGATAGAAAACAATACGATTTAATTTATTTCAGCATAGGACCGTGAAGTTATTTTTATCCTTTTTTTTAATAAAAAAAAAAAGAAAAAGAAAAAGAAAAAGCATTCTCTTTCTTTAGCAAAACGTAAATAAGGAATATAAAAAATAATTTTTTATTTGATGTTATTAGGTTTCGCTAGTGATTGGATAAATCATTTGAATTTTAATCGGTTTTACTATTCTATTATAAATTAACCATCGATTAATATCAAAACATGAAAATTTAACTTGATAATTATTAAATCCAACGCCAATGCCCACGCAGCAGTATTATTCTAATAAAGGTAATAAAAATATATAAATATAGGAACTTGTTACTATTTTAACCTAGATTTTGTTGATCTCTTGTCTAACCATATAAAACACGTCATTTATAAAATTTTTGTAATAATCCTTGATTATTGAAAATATGTCACATGATTTCGGCGGAATATTGAAGAAATCGCTGCGCCACCAGTAACGATAAATGATATTTTAACTAGATTAAAGATTTAATATTATAAATGGACTCCGTGTGTTTAGATAAGGAGATAAGTTGCATCCCTTTTAAACAACAACCAGCTGAGGTTGATTTCCTTGTATTTTTGTTAATAAAATCATACATTTTTCTATTCTTTAAATTTTGATTGCGTTAAAGTGTGATGAAGAATGACATGAATTAACCACCTCATTCGAAATTATAATTAAATTAGTTTAGGTATTATTTCATAATTTGTTTCATTAGTATTTTTATTTAATGTATTTAGTAAGTGAAAATTCAAAAATTATAATTATAAAATTAAAGTATATTACATTTTACTCCGATACTATATTAGCTTCGTAATTGTATGACCGATATAGAATAATAGAATAAAGCTTTACTAAATTGAGTTTAAATTAATCGAATCAACTATACTCATTAAATATGTCCCTTTCATCTTCTACTACGCGCTTTGTAAATTCACCTGGAAAGTATTAGATTAGTTAAATTAAAATTTCGCAAAATAATTAACGATAAATGCAACAACATTATCGTTATAATTCAAATTATAAATTCGTCGAAACGTATTAAAAACCCTTTACCTTTTGATTTATATTCTATCTATCATAGGTTCTATGTAAATTGTTTGCTATTTTATGTAATTATGGTTTCATTAGAGTATAATCTCATGGAATTGTTTAGAACAAATGCGTCACTGAATACTTAGAGATTCAGAGCTTCTTTAATTAGCCCGGAGCGAAGCGAAGGACTTTCATATTATAGTCACATGTTACACGAGGTGTCCCGCTCAATAATTGAGACGATGCTGATTGGCTTTTACAATATTTTTTTTTAGTTAAGATCGTTCCGGACTTAACAATGGTTTCAATAAAATAATTTCTCTTGTTTTAGGTATACTTACTACAATATTATAGTGATTGAATATAAATTTATAAAATTTGGTTATCCATCATTAAGTAATTAAAGAAACAATTGTAAAAATTAAAAATTAAACTTTTAAACAAGGATTTCTAAATTTTTAGCACTAAAACATTATAAAAGGTTATAATATAATTTATTGGAACACCATTAATTTTTAATTTGCATGATAAGAATTTCAGAATTCCCCTTTACTGACGTCCTCCCATATGTTTACATTAATCGAGAATAAATACATATGGGAGGTTTGCTATTAAAATCGTGTTACGAACATAGTAAATCATATGATCCGTCTCCCATATATGGAAAAGACATATTTAGGAAGCATGTTATTATAATCTTTTTTCTATTTATATTGAAAAATCCCAAATGTTCATAATTTGAAGTATATAAGTTTATTCGTAAAGTATACCGAAGCTCACAACATTTTGATTAGTGCAGTAATAATAAGTAAAATGTCTCGCTTGTCTTAGTTTTTTCATTAGAAAAATTATAATCTATTGTAATCGATGAAAAAACAAGCAAAAGACAAAAACAACTATATCGTTATTTCCGCCCAAGATTTGCGGAGCTTTGACTTCCATTTGTCGAAATTTTTTCATTGAGTTTAAGGATCATGTTAAACTCGGAAGTTCTTTTTGCTCATCTCGCTTGAATTGTAAAATTTTCGTCGGATGGGATTACTATAACACCAATTGTATATTTGTGGTATTTAGGTAGTGTCCCTTCCGGTTCTCGAACGACTTCATCACCTACATTTAATCACGATCTTTTTTTTTAATTGCCATCTTAATTGTACAAAATTATATATTATGATTAGTTATTCGTCGGTCCTTGCATTGGATCACAAACGGGAATCTTGCAAGATTCCAATTATGTCAACTTCCGTCACCTGACGTGGTACTATAAAAATAGATAATAAATATAATATGAATTTGCGTCATCATCGTCAAGAATCAAGGAAAAACGTTCATAGATGTATGTACTGCAGCCACGAAGCTTAATCGCGTGACTCTACAAATAGTATTCTGTGAACATAAATTATTCGGTATGTGATATCTTATTTGTCACATAATATTTGTCAAAGGAACTACAGTTTAAACAACTTTCTCAATCAATGATGTTCATTTTCTGTGTAAGCTTTTTGAGAATCTCACATTATGTCCCAAACTGTCCCACATTGTCCCAGATCATGTATCTCTAAAAACATATACTAATATCTATAATAATTTAAATATAAAATAAGAAATTTGCGCTTTAAAATAATTAGTAAGAAATCTTAAAAAACGTACCAAAGTGTTTTTCTAAAAGCGAAGAATAGAATTAAAACCCATAAAGTCTAGTTCATATTTTGGAAGATTTAGAAGGAGCAGGTGTAAAGTTTGATGATTAATAAGTTACGTGATTTTGTCGTTCGAAAAGAGCACCTGTTCAAAAAGTTGAAAAGACAAAGTAGTCGATCTCGCGAAGATGTATATTAAAGTTTGTTGTGTATTTCTGGCGAGGGATCATTCGTATTTAATAATGTTAGACGATGTCCATTAGGTCTATTACATTAGAAGTCAACATTTTATAAAATTTATACACACTGCAATATGTTTGGGAGGGATATCCGGTGTGGATCTTTTTAATATAAACAAAAGATGATAGTTGTACAAATTGTGAAAATGTGGAGTTAGGCACACATTTGAGCAATAAAGGTTAAGAATTTCAACAATTATTGTTATTGGGACATTACGGATCATATGATTTACTATGTTCTTGAACTCGATTTAAATAGCAAACCTTCCATATTACCAATTATTTTCAATTTTTAGCATTCGCAACAACTCATTGTTGGCAAATGACCTTGAAATGACATCATTTTAATAGAAATTTCAAGTCAAATTTACCTTGCAAAGACTAATTGAAATTACTGTGTACTGAATGACCTTTGGGCCAAATTTGGGGCGGATTTACAGTCGCCACTGGTTATAACGAACCTGTTTATACCGAAAACTCGTTATATCGAACCAAAGTGGTGCAGAACCAATTTTTTTTATAATTAATTGCACTGGATGAAATTATATATATATCGCATCCGAACTCATGTTGGCCAAACCAAATATATTAGCCACGTATTTGATATGGGAATCCTTAAAACGTACCTGGGGTAATAGGCTTTTAACCTGTACCTCAAATATAAATAAATTTTTTTAAAGTTTATATCACGTGAAAAAACAGATGGAACAGGATAAGAGCCAGAACAGGATAAGTTTACCCTATTTGATATACCGAACGACTTAAATTAAAATATAAATTATCGTAACGTGAATAATTTTTTCTTTTTCATCAGAACACAGAAATTTTGTTTAAAGAACTCCGAGTGAAACCAAAGAAAAAATCTAAGTCTCCCTAATATTGAACTTGCACACCAATATTGTATTGGGCTTGCAATAATTTGTATTTTGAAATAATTTTATTAATACAGTATAATAATATAAATGCTAATACTGATATTACTAATATGATCCCATGTCTTTAATTTTATTGGAAGACTCTATATACCGAACAGTTCGGTATATAGAGTGAGCATCATTCTATACCGAACCAAACCCTACAGAACGGATTCGTTATAACCAGTGACGACTGTATATTCAATGTAACGTTAGGAAGTGTCATTTGATTATTTTCTTTCATTATTAAAAAAACACATCACCGATCAATTCTTGAGAAACGAAATAACTGTCATTCAATGCTCGCGTGTATTAAATTATGAAGTTAAAAAAAAATTATGTATACTTCGCACATTCTGAAGTTTCCTTGCAAATATAAAAATTTATTAAAGGTAACTTGAGCATATTTAAATTAAACACGTTTAATATTTTATAGGAAATAAGAAAATATAACCATCATTTAAGGATAAGTAAGCGCTCGACTTTTCAAAATCTCCATTAATCTGTTTCACTCGAGATATTAATTCTCGCTACTCAAAATTTTATGGATAATAATTAATACAACAAATTCCATTATATTCTCTAAATATTAACCTTCTTGTAAATTTAAAATATATCAAATAACTAAGGTTGCCGAGCAAAACCCGAGGTTTCGACAGACATCGAAATCGACGTCGAAATCCGTCGATACCCATTGAAATCTGTCGGTAAAAAGAATAATTTTTATTTTTAACATTTTGTTAGAGTTTAATTCTAAAAAATTTATTTTACTTTAAAATTCATTTTGTTAGAGACAAGTTTTTTTTTTTTTTTTTTGCTACGAACTTTTTTATTTTTTTTTCTTTAAAAAAATTAATTTTACTAGAGTTTAAAAAAAATATATCACATTATTAAAGTTAAATCACTTAGAAATTTAATTAACGTTAATACTTTAATCTGAATCGTACATTTTGTCTACAAATCAATCCAACTTGAAATTTCAAATTTGATTTGGGCAATTGCCATAATTATTGTAATATGTGAGCCATCAATTTTTTTTACGATAATTAACATTCTTAAAAAAATGTTTTTGACATACCTTACCTTTAGCAGATATGATGAGACCTTTCTCAACTCATAAAACCGACAATCTAAAATAAGTAAGAGATACTAACACTTCAATTCTGATAAATGAACGCACATATTTATTCAAATTTTAGATACGCCACTTTTTCGTTGATCATTTGATGTTTCAACATAAAGTCTGAAACGAGTGGTCAAAGAAATCATGAAAGATAACCTTGATGAATAAGTGATGCATGCCTTTTCATTCATCAAGAATGAGGGAATAACGTAATGCAGGTTATGAAAGCAAAATCAAATATGCAAATAAAGAGCACTGACATTCTGCAATCTCAAATAACAACAAAAATAAAAAAATCCGATTGAATCTCTAAGGTATTACGTTTCTCTCATCGCGTTTTCTTTTCGCGAAGCAATATGATTAAAATCGAAGTTTAACTTCACATTCACCACCCTCAATTTATCTTTTTACTGAAAATAATATATTTATACTCAAATAATCGATTCTAGAAATTAAAAATTGAAAATATTCTATACGAAATTTTTGATATAAAAATTATAAAGGCTAGCGAATTGAGAAAAAGAGATAACTATTTTTGTAACATTATTAAACTGCGCTTTGTGTTTCGGAGGAATTCTTTTCATGTCGTGGTGCAGGATAGGGATGGTAGTGGTCGGTCAACGGTCGGTCAAAGACCTTTGACCGACCGACCGGTTAACTGACCGATTTTAACTGACCGGATCAACCAGTTAATAATATATAATTGAGCAATTTTGACTTAAAAGAAGTTTAATTTAGTCAAATCTTTATAATTTTGATTTTTGCTTTAACAATTCTAGCATGGCATTTTTTAACTACCTTTTCATTTTTATTTAATGGCGCAGCATCATCACGAACTTTAATTATTTTTTTTTTTAAAATTTCAAATTTTAATTTATATATAATTAAAATAAAATGTTGATTTTTTAAATTTAATACAAAGTGTTTTTACTATTTAAAACATGATTATTCAGTCTCGAGTCAGTCGGTCAACCGGTCGGTCAAAATCGGTCAGAATCGGTCGGTCAACCGGTCGGTCAGAAGCCTTTGACCAACCGATATCGGTCACGGTTATGACCGGTCATGACCGGTCATGACCGTGACCATTAGAATCCCTAGTGTAGGACGTGTGGTTGTGTGGTGCTTAAAAAAAAGCAATGTGGCGTCTCTAATTTAATAGGTAAACCACGGGAGGTGCATTACATATCGTTGAGTTCTTCCAGGAGGTTTTTCGGATCTTTTAAATGAATAAGATCCAATATATACTCCCTTTTTATAATTTCTACATTTCGCAACTATTTCATTGCTTTTCTAAATGGATAGAATCTAGTTTCTCGATAAACAGTGCTAAATCCTCCTTCCGTTATATTTTCTAACTTTGAATATGGAAGCCATAAGTGATTGATAGTGGTAATTCCAAATGTTGTTAAATAGTAAAACAATTTGAATACCCACTTTTGTCAATTTGTTACAGTATTTAGTTTTCTACTACTATTGATTTTATTAACTGTTGATTTTCCATAAGAAAATAATCATTTCGAAATATTTTTATTTCTAAATTCAATACCACCATTGCACGGAGTTAGATTTTAATGTTGGCGTTGGGTCAAAATCATTTTTATGAATAATATTTTCATATTCCATTCCGTTATATTTCCAATAATTTTGAAATTATTTTCGATTCAAAGAAAAGTAATCTAGAATTTAAATAGAAACTAAGGATGTTTATAGTACTGATTCGCAAATAATGTTGTTCCTCTTTTTTCTATCTACTAGATTTTATAAAGTAAGGCTATATTTACTCGCACATTAAGAATTTTTTCTATAGATCCATTCATTATTCCTATAATGATGTTAAATTGAATATAATTTCGCTCGGAGACACCATAAATTTGTATGTAATGTTTTCGATATTTGTAGTAGCCCTTTGAAGACCATTTTGACAGGTTGTAGATTGTTAGGATTCCCGGTTGGCACGATGCTAGTTGGTAGGAGGATGACAAAATGGGCTGTCCTAATAATTAATTTTTTATAAATCGAGCCGGAAATCCTTAAACAGCTCAATGTACCACGCTCACCCTCTTGTATTTGCATACATACACCTTAAAAAAACTCTTTTATCCCTTCGCGAAATTTTCGCTTTCGCGGTTTTAACATTATTATATTTAATTAGTAACTTCGTGTATTTTTTAACTCCCGATCTTCTTATTATTTTATTACTCAATTTTTATTATTTGCGTAGTTTTAATTAATTAGAATATGATTGTCTTTTATTTAGTTTAATATATTGAAAATTGCGAATGCGTTGAGCTGATTAATTTGATATTATTAAATAAAATTTAGCGTCAACATTACTTCATTTTTACTCAATAAAAAACTTCTGCTTACATTTAAAATTCATAACGAAAGAACTGAATACAACACTACCATCCTGACACACCCACCTGGTCAAATAGAAACTAGACACGATTTACAAGCGTAAATCGTAAACTTTCGGGCGGAATTACAGACCCCCGCCAAAAGTTTCCGTACACAAAGTTTAAATGCAAATGAATACATCGTTATGTCACATGACCAAATGATACTGCGGTCATAGAAGTTACGATGTTTGTTTATGTTAATTTATAATAAAAAGCGCGTTATTTTGACTTACCTCAAAATAAAAACAAACAAACTCTTTCTTCTTTTCTCTGAAGATAGTTGAAATAGTAAATAACAATGGGAAGAAATCAAGAATTAACTAAAGAACAACGTGGTGCTATTCTTTACTGTCATCAACGTGGTGACAGTTATCGAACTATTGCAGAGACTGTCAATTGTGGAGTGTCAACTGTTTTTGACACTTTGAAACGATTTGGTGATACAGGATCAACCAGCTCGAAGCTTCGCTCCGGAAGACCACCTTTGATTAAGGAATCTCAACGAAATCGGCTTAAGAAGCTTGTGACAAATGATAAATTAAATAATCGTCATCTTTGCACTGCTGGAGTACAGCAGCTTTGGAAAAAGAAAACTGGGCAGTATGTTTCAGATCGTACCATTGGCTGAACACTCCGTTCTCTTAGATTAAGAAACTGTTTTGCTCGACGAAAGCCTCTCATATCACCTGCAAATAAGGAAGCTCGTCTTGCATGGTGTTTGGAATATCAAAGCTAACCAAAGGAAGACTGGGCAAAAGTTATGTGGAGTGATGAATCAACTTTTACCTAGTTTCAACAGAATCATTGTAGCAGAGTGTGGCGAGAATCTGAGAACAAATGGAAACCTTCTTGTATTACTGCTACAGTAAAGCATAGTCCTAGTCAAATGCACTGAGGATGCTTTTCAAGACAAGGTTTAGGTCCAATTGTACCATTAACTGGAACTGCAACTGGTGTTTTACATGTTAAAATTCTTCGCAAGTATGTTAAACCAACTATGAGGCGAGTATTTCCAAATGGTGATGGTTAGTTCCAAGAAGATAATGCTCGCTCTCACAAATCAAAGGTTGCAATAGTATTTCAAGCCAAAAATGACTTGCATGTATTACCTTGGCCAGCTCAAAGTCCAGATCTTAATCCAATTGAGAATCTGTGGGTTGAGGTAAAGAAAAATATTAGTAAACAAAAGAAAAAGCCATCTAACCTTATTGATCTTGAACGACATGTTAAAAGAGCATGAAAGAAAATTCCAAAAAAGACTATTGAAGACTTAGTCGATAGTATGCCACAGCGAATTCAAGCTGTTATTGCTGCGCAAGGAGGCCTGACTACAGTAGCGGTCATAAGTATCCGACCGCCCGAGATCGTCTAAAATTATTATATAACTACCCCTTAAATTTTCCAAAAATATAATATAACACAATACATGATCACCTGTAAATTTATAAGTGTCGATGATACAAAAAAAAAAAATTTAGATGA